GTAAAGCTTTAATTGAGCACAAGTACGCCACAGACGTCTAATTAAGCAACCTGAAAGCTCTGAGAATCCTTTCAAGGAGAGATAAGAACCTCATATTTACGAAGCCTTTCCGTTCAAGAAATTTATTTATTTATTTACAAGCTTTTTAATAAAGGCTTTTAAGCCTAAAATATCGCTAGTGCTTATAAAATATTATTATATATACAAATATTGGAAAAAAAAAATCTTGAATTTAGATGTTTCGCTATATTTTAAGCATAATTTTTCCCATGCTACACACTGTTATATATATCTTGCTTGTATCTTTTATGCAAGCTAATATAACTGTGTCTTCATTTTCAATTCGCATAATCTATGCTATGCTCTTACAATTGTGATTTTTAAGTAGTGCAGTGTACACAGGCCCATACTTAAGTAGCTCAGCTTCCACAATAAAATGATTAAGATATGAAATTCAAGAGAGCTGCGAGCTGAGAAACATATGCGTTAATTTCGGCAGCTTGTGCGAAGCCAAATGCGAATCCGAATGCGAATGCGAATCTAAAGTGTTGAATATGATAAAATATGATAATTGTCTGGGGCCGAGGGGCAGAGATGCAGGGCGTCTGTGTGCTTGCCACACAGCTCTCAACCAACTCATCATCATCGTCTCTATTTCCATCTCTGTCGGTGACGCCTACGATGATGCAATGCATTGGCGTTGACTCAATTAGGTTGCAGACAAAAGACAACAACAACAATAACAAGCAGAAAAAAAAGAGCAACTGCAACTAAAAATGCATGACTACCTTATAAGCCGAACACTTGATGTGGCAGCTGCAAAGTATCTGCGAATGCATAATTTTATACATCCCATTGTATCCAAAGCGGATGCACTCGCAGAAAGAACTAAGCTCAATCTTAAAACTTAAAAAAAATTTATTCTTAGAATATTTATTTATATGAAGCGAAAATTGTATCTTATATGCATTCTAAAATATTAGAAAAACAGTTCATAATTTAGTTTTGATAATAGGACTACTATATACTTTCTCTCCGTGTATGCTGCTGCGCTGTTAATGAACGCGACATCAAAAGTCAAAAATAAAAAAAAAATAAATGAATTAATGAACGAACCCGAGTTGAATGCACTTGCAGAATGTTAAAAAAAAAAATAAAAATCAAATTTGATTCTGACTCTTTTAATGCTCACTCACTTAGAAGTTAGAAGAGTATATTAGGTTTTTGCTAGCAGATAATGCTTTCATATGCTCACTGCATCTTCAGTTGATAAGATATAAAGTCTTTTTTGGATTCTATAAAGAGTTTTAGATTAAATAACTTATTTAGTTATTTAATCGCAAAACTCTTTATAAATAAGTAATAGAGATTTTTATTATAAAAAAAAAAATAGAACCTATAGATAAATAGAGAACAGATATAAACTTTATTTCATTACAAAAAAAAAAAATAAACAACTATTTATAAAAAATATCTATATTTAATTTTTTTTTTTGTTTTTAAAAAAATTTTTTTTTTTTTTTTTTTTTTTTTTTTTTTTTTTTTTTTTTTTTTTTTTTTTTTGGCTTTATATTCTGCAGTCGATAACTCCTCACAACAAAGTTTTTTTTTTTTTTAGGTTAACTTTCACACAACCGATGTAAATAAAGAAACGCCAAGTGTTTTTTTTTTTTTTCCAAAAAGTGAGCCGCAGCGATATAACAATCGCTCTAGCCACCGGTTTTTTTTTTTTTTACAAAAAAATACGTGACTGAAATTGCTAATACGCACAGGCATAAGTTTTTTTTTTTTTTACAAAAAAACCTTTGAAGTGAATGAGAAATTGAAGCAGAAAACATTTTTTTTTTTTTTTAGAAAAAAATTCAACAGTTTGCCTGTTATGCACAATAAATAAATGTTTTTTTTTTTTTTTTAAAAAAAAAAGAAATTACATAAGGATTCGACATAATGGGAAACTTTTTTTTTTTTTTTAAAAAAAACGAGCTTAAAAACAAAAACAAATTTACATACATAATTTTTTTTTTTTTTTATAAAAAAAAATTGCGAATCTAACAAAAAAAAACTATCCATTCATTTTTTTTTTTTTTTTAAAAAAAATTTCTTCAATAATGGCTACAAATTTGAATATAAGCGTATACTTAAAATTCATAAAAAAAAGTATGGCCTATTCAAGCTAACAATTATTCAAAATCTATTCCAAATACATTCATTATTGAGGATTGTTGTCAACTTTTTTCAATCATCATTATTGAATATATAAATTTGAGCTTAGAACTCATAATCTAAGATATGGGTCATTTGAACTGAAATGTATTCAAAACCCGTTCAACAGAATCTTCAAATGTGAATTTCACCAGCCTATCTCAGACATTATTATATTTCGTTCTTTATAATAAGACATTACTATCTCAATAACGATAATAAATATAAATAATAAATGGATTATTAATGAATATATCAAGCTTCATTTATTTAAATTTCTTAATAAAAATGAAGATCCTCATTTGGAAAACTCCGAAAATCAAATTAATGAGAGTTTTGCTTTCAGCCATACTTTTTGTTAATTACAAAACTAATGATGACCTTCATTCTCTGACCAAACACCAACGAAGAATGAATGGAGGAAAGAAAAAAATTTAAATAGATCGAGCGACAGTTGGCCCGAAGGCGTTAAAGAGAAATGGACAACAACAAAAAAAAAAAAAGAAAAGAAATCAGTGCCAATGAAAATGAAAAAGGTTTGAACAAAGCGCGTCGCATGAACTTGTCAGAACAGAAAAAAAAAACACCAAACATGAGACCCAAAAAACAAAAACGAGTTAGACAGTGGTCTAAGAAGTGCAGCTGCGTAATACCCTGTGAAATGCGATTCTTCTTATATTTTAAAAATTATATATTATATAAGTTGGGTAACCTATCAAATCATTTCACATTTAACAATATATTATTAACATGCGAAAATTAACATCTAATAGTTTTTGACTATGTTTAAAAGTATTATCTCATTAGTGTTGTTGGCTAATAGAAATTCAGTCAACACAAAAATCGGCTTAGTGGTGATTCTAAAAATATAGGTGCTAAGAATGTAGGGGGTATATGATGCTTTCAATAATTACAGAGTATTTTCAGAACGAAACAAGAATCAACAAGCGACAACAACAAACGGAAACAACGCTAAAGTCGAAGTCGACCCATTTCATTTGAGCTTTTGAAGAAAGTAATATTTTTTTCATAGATAAACGAGCAGCAGCTTGCGCTTGGCCACAACAACTTGTAAATGTAAACACAGCACAGAAGCGAAGTAAAGTCGACGTCGCTGTCGCCGTCGCTGTCGCGTTCGCAGTCATCGTCATCGTCGTCGTCGTCGCCGTCTTCGTGTATTGGCCGATTTTAAGGCCAAGAACTTGCACGGCAAGTGAACTATGAGAGAGGCTGAGCCGAAGCCTGTTTGCCGGCTCAGCGGATGTGGAGCAGTGGGAGATGGGATGTGGCGGGGGGACCTAGCCCCATTGGTGTGTTGCGGTCTTGGTGTGGCAAGCGCAGTTGCAACCTGTTTTGCGTGCGTGAAAATTCTGCTGCTTCTTGCGGTTTTTTTAATTTTATTTATGATGTTTATTGTTGAAAGTCAAAGTTGGCATCGAATTCAATGGCCGCATTCGTGTTTTGTATTATTTTATTATTTCTTGTTGTTGTTGTTGTATTATTATTGTGGCTAGGTATTAGAAGTTAGTTAGATAGCTATATATAGTTATTTGGCGCCGCACCGCACTGCCCTCCCCTTTGCAATGACAACACAAAAATTTGTTCATTAGTTAGAAAAACTAAATCGAAATAAATAAAAGATAAAAATAAACGGTATTCTGTCGCATTATTTGCACTCGTACGCGAACATGTGTCAGTCCATGTCTATATCTGTTACACAGTAGCTCGTAAATCGTAGTTTACAGTTGGCTGGCAAAAATTCGGTGGTGACAGTTACATATGAGTTACAGTTAGACAGAGTCAGGGCAGCCTAGTTCATTTCGTCTGCGCTAATTTATTAACCCAGCCCAATAACTGCTCTATTTGATAACGGCACTCGGCTTAATCTGTTTTGCTTTACTTAATTCAAATCGATGCCGCGCACGTTTCTTTCACATTCGTACGAGCGCGCGAGAGAGCGAGAGACGAGATCAGAGTTCGGTGTAGCGATGCGCATTGACAAACAACGACGACCGTCGCGTTCAGCTTTGAACTTACAACTGAAAGGCGACTGCCAAAGTTGCCGTTGCGTGCAAGCTCTCCCGAAAGCTTCGCGCAACAGCTGAGACCGGCTTATTGAACAGTCGCGCTCAGCTTACCACCACCACACTGACACTTCATTGAGCATTTGGCATATAGAGATGGCACTATGCTCACGCGCTCTGTCTTTCATTGGCTTTAGCACTTGAGCGTATAGAGCTGCAATTGTGCTCACGATCTTCGACTCATATAAAGTTCAATTTAGTTTAAGTTTTCGATAAAACTGAAACGCAGAGCTTTGACTCAATGCAGCACGTTCAGTTTTGATGCCTTTCATAAGCTGCTACATTAGATGTACTCACTGTTTTAAATTCCTACGAATTAAACTCACCTCTCATTGCCATCCTCATCCACATAGCTGCTTCTATAGGAGCCAATTAGATTATCCAATTTGCAGTCAAAGCTGGCGGACAACGTATATGCCTTGTTCACGCTGAGCACCTCCTTCAGCTCGATGATTAGCAACTCTCGTGTATCATCCACATAATACGTTTTGATGGCAATGCGCATGCGCGCCATCATATTCAAAATGCTAATGCCATGCACATTCAGATCCTTGGCATGTAGCACTATCAAATTGGTAACGGCGTCCAATTGGAACTGTATGGAGACTGTGCCGTCACAGTCGCCCGTCTTCAGATCGGGATTTATGTAGACGCGATAACGTATGGGTCGAATCTCATTTGGCAGTCGATACACAATCTAGTTGCAGTAATAAATATTTGGTCAATATCCATGGTTGATAACAAGAAACGCGTTAATTATGATAAGGTTTGCGATAAAGAACTTAATCATTGGTCAGCTATCGTTGAAAGTAGCTGAACTGAACTAGCTAAAATAATATCTGAAATATACATGTATGCCGAGACGTTTTTTATTTATTGGGCATATTTAGTTAAAGGCTCTTTAGGAACTAAAATTCACTGCGTAAATGCGTTGGAAACTGATTTTTTAAACTAGACAGGTCTTTGTTCTGTATGTAATCCTCCAAAACATCAAGTTTCTCTCTTGCATCGGCTAGCTCGATCCGCAGATTGTCGCTGTGCACCACAACAGTGACCAGGGCGACGATCAGACAGGTGGACAGCAGGCCAAAGAATATGGCCACATGTTCCGCTGTGATTTTATCTAACGGAATTAGACTTGCAACATTTTAGGACTACGAATTTAGAGGGTGTTAACTGCGACTCACCCTTTAGAGTTTCTATAAATTTGACCATTTCGAATGACCAATTCGTACAATGACTACGCCTAAACTGAACTAAACGGCTGACCAATGCGCAACGCTTTTTCAGTCAAGATAAAAGGGAATAAAAACCCCAAATCGATAATCGGTAAAACCGGACTATATGATACGATAATATATGAATTGGTGCTAATGCCGACTTTACGGCAGTCTATTTAGGGCTATAAACAATGCACCTACATACCTCTTCTGGATTAGGCAGTCCGGTTGGCAGTGTAGGATATATGGGACTTGGATTGGCCGTGCTACCGGGTGTGGTACCGCCTCCAGGTGTGGTGCCGCCTCCAGGTGTGGTGCCGCCTCCAGGTGTGGTGCCGCCTCCAGGTGTGGTGCCGCCTCCAGGTGTTGTACCTCCACCGGGGCTCGTCTCTCCACCGGGTGAGGTTCCCCCACCGGGTGAGGTGAGCGTTGTACTAGATGAGGTGGGTCCTATAGTCGTGGTGTCCGCCAAGAGTACATCCAGCTTAGCTAACGCATCCTGTAGATCATCCTCCAGACTTGCATTTTCCACAGCTAGCACAATAGTGGCTACACAAAAGGCAGCAGTGGTTATGCCCAAGCAGATGGCCGCCGCCTTGACCGTTAGCCCTAATGGAAACGCCAACGATTAACACAGCTATATATACACATATCAGGAATATATATATTTTTCCTTTGCACTCACAAGCAACCATGTTTTATTTCGATAGATCCTTTGCTTTTAGCCCAATTTCCACATCCACTTCGCAAAGCGTCTGAAACTGAACTAACTTTAAAATCGGGCATCTGAGCAACTATTTGGACAGTTTATTGATATGTGGGCCTAGCTGGGCATGGTACACGATAGGCGCCTATCATTACGATGGGGCTTTTAAGGTTATATGGATGCCATAAAACAGGAATGCATATTTATATATCCAATGTGGGCAGTCCAAATCGGAGTATGACATGCAGACTTTTATCGAAGTTATTGATGCTATTAAAATCGCCACTCGGGATATCTTCAATAAAATGCATGCAAAGGTTTATTGGCTCTGGTTAACGTTTATTGATTTATAGGCTCTTAATTATGCAATTCCCTGAGTAATTGAGGAAATGTTTTTGGTGAATCGACATTTATTGGATATGGGAAAATTTTTTCGTATTTTACAATGGGTATTTAGAGGTCATTGGGGAAGGCGAACCGCCCAGCCAACTGGCAATATCGTTCCGATTCGCCTTGAGCCAATTGATATTATATTTGATGGTCTCGATCGCCTCCTGCCTGGACGAAGCGCCGGCTCCCGACTCTGGATATTTAACGAAGAATGACTCCACCTCCTGCAACTTTTGTTCACTGGCGAATTTGCTCGTTATTCTGGCAATTAATCTGCCAAAACTGCGATTGTTGAGGCCAAAGCGTGCGACTAGAGTGGGCCAATTCTCCCGATAGTAATCCCAAACAATGGGCATGCCTACAGGATTGTTAGCGATATTTTCCACAGCGGTGAAATAGTCCTGGGAGCGCACAATAGTCTCATCGCTGGCCAGGTCCAAGAAACGGTAGAGCAGCTGAGCGTCCTGCACAGCGGACAGACCAAACATCAGTTTCGACTTCTCGCTGGCATCGGACTCCGTCTTGAACAGCTCCAGCAGCGCCTCCCAGTTCTTCTCGTTGCTCGCCTGCTTCATGCCATAGTAGTAGACTACCTCGCGCAGATCGGGCGCTGGACGATTTTCCGCAGTTGGTGCGTTGAGCCATTTGGTGAAGCGTTGCTCTGCTTGCTCCAGGCAATCCTTGAACTCCAGTGCGCAGGCTAATTTCAGCACAGACATGCGCAGACGACTTGAAGAGAGAAAGAGAGAGAGAGAGAGAGAGAGAGAGTCAGATCTATACAGCTTACTTTCTCAGCTGCTACTCACTTGCCCAAATGGTTATCCTGCTCAACGGTCCAGCCGACCTGGTTGTAGACATTCGTCAGCAGGGTGCGTGCATAGCTCATATAGTCAACATAGGTATCGGTGAACATGAGCTGATCTATCAACGAAAGCAGTCCACTGCTAGCCACATACCAAGGCACAAACTCACGCTCGTTGGGCAGATAGGCGGTCATCTCCAGGGGCACTCTGTACGAGAGCTGGCTGGCATCGGCCAGGGCGAAAGCATCGTTCAGTAGATGAGCTCGATCCGCGACGTTGAAACGCGTCGGCTCAGTCATTAGCTGCTGGATGAGAGCTTGCCAAATGCTGGACTCGTAGTTGACGCGATAGTAGCCCAACTGACGTACGTTCAGCTTGATCCATTTGGCACTCGTTGGTGCCGCAATGCCCAACGTATCCTCATCGTACTCAAAAACAAGACTGTTGACTTCAGTGGCCGGCGAGCTGTCCAGAATGTAGGTAACAGGCACGGTCCACTTGTAGCCAAACTCAACGGGATCTACCACTACGTCGTAGCTGTCCTTATTGGAGAGGAACCGCTGTTGCTCGATCATGAAAGCATTTTCTCCGATACGCCGTACATTCAGCACCGGATAGCCCATCTGCTCTGTCCAGGTGCGCATCAATAGCTTCACATCCAAATCGCTGAATTGGGCAGCCACCTCGGTGAGGAAGTCATCCGTGACGGTGTTGGCGTACTTGAATTTGGTCAGATAGCTCGTTACAGCAGCCTCAAACTTCTCGGAGCCCACCAAGGATTCTAGCATACGCAGCACAGAGCCCGCCTTCTCATAGCTGATCGTATCAAAGATGGCCGAAATTTCATCCGGAGACTCCACCTTCTGCACAATGGGATGCGAGGAGAGTTTAGCGTCGTAGACGAGCACGGGCTGCAAGGCCAATATTTGAAATTGCTCCAGCTAAAAGTGGGATGAGTGCGAAAGGAGATAAAGATAGGTATATTAAGAATTTATGCTGCACTAGCTTACCATGCCCCAGTCCGGATGCACTGCGTGCACGCCCTTGTACTGCATGAAGCGAGCGAAGCCCTCGTTTAGCCACAAGTCGTTCCACCAATTCATGGTCACCAGGTTGCCAAACCACTGATGAGTTATCTCATGGGCCAGCACACCAGCAATGGACTGCTTGTTCAGCGTGGAACTGTAATTCTCGTCATAGAGCAACGCCGTCTCTCTGTAGGTGACCAGGCCCCAGTGCTCCATGGCATTGGAGGAAAAGTCCGGTATGGCTGCCATGTCCAGCTTGGGCAGCGGGTACTCCACATTGAAGTATTTGATGTAGTACTCGGTGACAGCGATGCCAAAATCTAAGGCGTACTTCACCTTATTCAGCTGATGGGGCGTGGCAAAGGCGCGCATTGTAAAATCGTTGCCGATTCCGTTGGCCTTGACCGTGCCCGTCTGTGAGTCAAAGTCGGAGACAATGATGCAGGCGAGATAGGTGCTCATTGGGACGCTGCTGGCAAACGTGACCATTGACTCCTCACCCAGATTCATGGAATCCTGTTAAGAAACTATTACGTGAGGGGAAATAAAAAAATTGAGATGAATGGCGTATTACCTCCTCGTTCATGTTCGAGAGCGCTGTATAGGAGCCGGAGTTGGGATGCACCACGCTGATAGTGAAGGTGGCCTTCAGAGCGGGCTCATCGAAGCAGGGGAACGCCTGGCGAGCATAGGTCGGCTCAAACTTGGTCGTCGCAATTTTTCTATAAAGTTGTGGCATGCTTTTAGGCTGTCTCACAATTGAAAAGAATTCACGCTACATACCGACGCTGCCCCGCGGGCGTTAAGTAGCTGCTGCTGTAGAGTCCTTCGAGTTTGCCCAACGACTTTCCCTCGAAGACAATGCCCAGCGTGACGACGACGTTCGCGGCCAGCGGCTCCTTCATATTGACAATCAGCAACTGACGCAGCTCATCCAACTCGTAGTTCTCCACCTCGTGATTTACCACATAGACACTGGTCAGGACCAGGTCTTGTGAGTGCAAGACGATTTGATTGGTTGTCTCTAGCACATTGATGCGGATTTTCTCTTGGCCCATAAAGGTATCCGCCTCCAAATTTGGATGCAAATACAGCTCATAGCTGGAGGGCTTAACCGTTTTGGGCAGGCGATAGTCGATCTGCTTGAATGATAATTGATGCTTGATGAGCTAAGTGAAACACTTCCTGATGCTAGTAAGACCCACCTCCTCTTTAGTTTCGCGCCTTGCTCTGCTAGATCTGTAGATCTGCGTATCTTTTGGCGTCTCGTATATATCAATCTTCTCCCTCACATCTCGCAGATCTGCCCCCACATGGAGGACCATAACGGCGAAGAGCAAAAACACGCTTAATCCATAGCCGTTCGAAAACATCTTGATGCCTCGACCGACGATCGCTAACTGAAGAAGTTGGTCACAATTCAGCTATGAATATACTAATCGACTGTAACCATAGTTTTTCGGTTTGCCTGCCAGTAATTCAATTTGATTGTGGGCACTTGATAGAATTTTATTGCCAACAAGGGCGATAATGCGCGTACAACTGGAACTAAAAGCTATTTGCCGTCAGTTGTCGAACTCCCACAAATAGAGCCGATGGAATTGGATAATATAAATTCGGACACTTTTTTGAGCTGTTTTATGTGTCGTGTTAACACTTGCGATAAGCGGACTCGATGACAGAAACTAATTTGATTTGCATGTTTATGAGAATGTTAGCTGTCACACCCGATGCAAATATATTGCAGATATCGGCTGACGATTCTTCACTGAATATTGACTGTCACACCCGAGACAAATATAGATATGGGCGCACGACTGAACCTAATATATGTGACGTACTAAATTAATATATGCTTATAAATACCAGAGACAGCTGGGGATAAGATAAATATTGTCATTCTCCTCGGCTTAATAATAAAGCTATCAGCACCAACTGTAAATATTATATTGATTAATATATTCAATCTACATATACGGTTTTACTTAAGTTTCAGAAAATTTTCACACTAAAATTCATTCGTTTCGTATTATATGCCTATTATATGCATTATAGTTGATTGATTTTGTCGGTAAATATAGATTTTGAAACACAAATTTGATGGGAGTATATCGTATATCTCTTCATATATCTTCATATAAATTTGAATTTGAACATATCGATAAATATCGAAGAACAACTTTGCTTGAATTGAACATTAGAGTTAACCTTTTTTGCCTTCTTTCTTATTTTTCTTCTTCTCATTCTCATTATATTCATTCTTCTTTTAGTATTACGTATACGATAAACTTATCAAATTCTGTTCGATCCGATCCGATCGATAAATATTGATCCAGAATCACGTTAATATGGTCATATGTGTAATTTTATTAATTACTCGATTTTTTAAGATTTGAGCCGCACTCATATATGTAAATCAAATAATTTTAAGATATGTATTATCGAAACAGACTGAATCTGGGAAGCACATGACATAATTTCATGCTATTCGCCTATTCTTAAGCTGTTTCTATTTTTCATAGGCAACATTGTCCCATGACTTCACCCTGTGTCCAACACTCTTCCACATATCTGGTTTATGGAGCTATTCCGATATCCATTTGAAAAATTTCTTTATTGTCATTTATGTGTTTCTCTGCAGTTCTCTAATCTTTACAATGGCAATTCGATGGTTAAAAAAAAAACTTTGTGACTCTGTTTTGTGAGCACGTCCACTACGATTGCCCCAGTTGGTCAGGTGCTTGGGGCTAGTTCAGTCGCTGTTGCTGCTCCAGCCAGGCATCGACGCTTTCGAGATTTTCGGCCAGCCACACAATGTTGTTCTTGACTGTCTCCAGGGCACGCACGCGTGCTGCTGTGCCCGCACCCGCCTCCGGGTACTTGGCAAAGAACTGTTCCATTTCCTCGAGCTTGGTCTGAGTGTGGAATCGCGCCGTTATCGATGGTATCAGATTGCCCAAGTAGCGTTCGTTGAGGCCAAAGCGGGCCACCAGCTGCGGCCAGTGCTCGCGCACATAGTCCCACACCAGCGGCTCGCCCATGGGATTGGCCGAGATGTAGGTCAGGCAAGTGAAGTAATCCTGGCCACGCACATACTCCTCATTCCAGGCCAGATCAATGTAGCGCTGCAGCAGCCAAGGCTCCTGTACGGCGGCCAGGCCATACATCAGCTTCGACTTCTCACTGGCGTCGGCCTCATTGACGAACAGCTCCCAGACGGTATCCCAAATCTCCTGGTTGCCCACCGACTGCATGCCATAGTAGTAGACAGTCTCGCGCACATCGGGATTGGGTCGCTTATCGGGCGTGGCAAGCCAGGCCTTGAACTGCTGACCGCCCTCTGTCAAGCAGGACTCTAAACCCAACGAACAAGCGGCACTCAGGGCGGTCACACGTAGGCGGCTGAGGAAGAGAATTGAGAAAGACAGATAGAGTTAAGTGGATAAGGAAGGAAGAATACTAATAAGTATTCCAAGCCCAGCTATCGATATACATTACTTTAGTAAGTAATCGATAAATCAAAAATTTTCTATATTCCTATTTCTATACGAAGCTACCTCATCTCCCATTTTTCAATAACTCCCGGATTAGATTAAAGAAAATCCACCGCAATTCCCCCTCAGTTCTGGTTCTATGAAAACCCCACTTACTTATCCAAATGATCCTCTCCTACCGTCCAGGTGAGCGACGTGTAAATCGGCTCAATCAGAGCTGTGGCATATTTCTTGAACTTGGCATAGCTGCTGGTGTAGAAGAGAGTGTGCTTCAGCGAGGTCAGCTTGGACGCAGCCACGCTCCAGGGCACATACTCCACCTCCTTGTCCAAGTACTTGGTCATGTCGAAGGCAATCTCGTAGGGCAGCTGAGTGGCATCAGCCAGGGCGAAGGCATCATTCAACAGGGAGGCACGATCGCCGGCACTGAATGCCTCTGGCTTGGCCACCATCTGATTGGCCAGCGACGCCCAGAGGGACTGATCATAGTTGACCCGATAATAGCCCACTTGATCGTAATTGAACTTGATCCAATCCACAGCAGTGGGCACGGTTATAGTGACTGTAAAGAAAGGAAAAACATAAACGATTTAAACGATAAGATAAGCAATGCAAATCGATTTGATCACTTACTTTCGCTCTTATCGTGATAAAACCATTCGCGCTTCACCGTGGGATCTTGGCTGGTCGTATATGTGATGGGTATGGACCAGCGATAGCTGCAATCGTACATATAATATATGTGTGAGTATCGAGAGACAAAAAATCAACTAAAGATAACACTAGAAAATTTACTTGAATTCCGAGGGCTCATGCACCACGTTATAGTCATTCGGATTGGACAAGAAACGCTTCTGTGTCAATTTGTATTCAGTGTCGGTAACCTTGGTGATCGTGACTACCGGCAGACCCATCTAAAACACGGCAGCCATAAAAATTGGGTTAGAGATGTGTATGTAAATCGGGAAGCTTGCTGCACAACTAGCCGATCATCATCATCATCAATCCACCGCACATGCTCACCTGCACCGTCCATGTCAGCATGATGTCCGTCACATTAAAGTCCAGCCCCAATTTGTCAATCTCGGCAAAGAAGTTGTCCGTTACGGCGTTCTGGTATTTGTATTCATTGAGATAATTGGTAACCGCTCGGCGAAAGATTGTCTCGCCCAGAAAATCTTCCAACATGCGCACCAGCGAGGAGCCTTTGGAATACGTAATGGTGTCAAAGATCTCTGTTATCTGATCGGGATTCTCAACCTTCTGAATGATGGGATGTGAGCCCAGAGTGCCATCCAGGTTGAACACTGCATGCAAAGTGCTCACAATAAATTGATCCCGCTGGAAGATGAAATAAAATTAGACTAAGCCCACATAATGAAAATAGAAAGTTATTTATAACGCCAAGACTTGCCATATTCCATTCGGGAAAGACGGAATCCACGCCCAGATATTCAATAAAGCTGGCGAAACCCTCGTTCAGCCATAAATCATTCCACCAATGCATAGTAACTGATACCAGACCGAATATAAAATCGAAACGAAATGAAATATTAGCCGAGCTTATCCCCCCGCTTATCTGGAGTGGACATACCTAAATTACCGAACCACATGTGCGCAAATTCGTGGGCTATCACACTGGCAACGCGCTGCTTGTTCACCGTGGAGCTGGTGGCCTCCTCGTACAGCAGCGAGGTCTCCCGATAGGTGACCAGACCCCAGTGCTCCATGGCGCCCGACACGAAATCGGGTATGGCGGCCATATCCAGCTTGGGCAGCGGGTACTCGATTTGGAAATAGTCGATGTAGTATTCAATGACGCCCTTGCCCACCGTCGTGGCAAAGTCGACCTTCTCGATCTGTTCGGGTGTGGCATAAACGCCCATGTCGAAGGGCTCGCCAATGCCCTTCGTATCGATCTTCACTGTCTTCGACTTAAAGTCGGAGACAATGAAGCACGCGAGGTATGTGCTCATCGGCACGCTCTTGGCAAACCGCACCTCTGTGTAGGTGTCCTTCTCCAGCTGATCCTCCACATTCATGTTGGAGAGCGAATGGTAGTCGCCGTCCTTCGGATGCACCAACGTGATCTCGAAGGTGGCCTTCAGGGCGGGCTCATCGAAGCAGGGGAACGCCTGGCGGGCATAGGTCGGCTCGAACTTGGAGGTGGCTATTTTTTTGCGACTTTCGTCGGCCTTTACATAGGACGAGCTATACAGACCAACAATTTTATTTTCCATATTGCCGGAAAACTCGAGGGTGAGCAATACAGTTGCACCCTTGGTCAGATCCTGGGTCAGGTGGATGATGAGAAACTCGCGAACCGCATCGAACTCGTAGTCCTTGACCGCAATGGTTGGCTCGATCGCCTGATAGACGTGCGCACTTTTGATATTCAAGTTTAGCGAATGCAGTACTATCTTATCCGTAGGCTCGTTCACGGTTATGCTAATTGTCTCCTCGCCCGTAAACTCACCCGTCTCGATATTCGGATACAAATAGAGATCATAGTTTGTGGGTGTCAATGCGGTCGGCAGACGATAGTCAATTTTCTCCGGCGGTTCTGTGGGGCCCGGCTCCACAGTGGTGCTCTCAGTAGGGGAACTGGGTACAGCCGTGGTGGACGTGAAACCAGCCTCGAGCTGATCTAATTTCTCCTGTGCATCGCGCAAATCCGCCTTCAAATCCGCCTTCTGCACGGCCAGCACGATTGTGGAGATGGTGAAGGCAGTGAGTGCCACGCCCAGGCAAATGCTAACCACCTTAGCAGTTATTATCATATTGACGTGAACGATGCGGGCTAATCCAAAACGGGCGACATTCAAATCGCAAATAAGCGCTAGCTACGGACAACTAGCGAGAGGTAACCATCAGCCCGAGAACTGATATCTCGTTGCTAATCTAATCGCTATCACAAGTCTCTCTCTCCCTCTCTCTACTCCTCTCTCTCACTCAGTCTGTCGCTCTGTGTATCTATAGATTTTTAATGATCTAGCTTATTTACGGGCCACTCCATTCCAAATGGCCGTATTAGCGGGATTCAATTTTTACGCATTGATTAGATTTGAGAAATGCCAAAAATCTGCGCGAATTTCCAATATTTCGAGAACATTTTTCGAGAAACTCCCGGCGCCAGCATCCTAACTTTCCCTAGCGCCGGCGCCCATATGTGTATATACCTATATGTAAATATATATCTCTTGTAAGACCAATTGACCAATCKTTGACTACCTGATCGATCGATCGGATCGGCTTTCGTTTTTGTGTACTTACCCCGGCGCCTTAGGTACTTAAAAAACCCTTTTCCGGTATGGAATTCTCGGCCTAATTAGAGATAGCGAGTTTTTGGTATTTTCATTGTGTTAAAACCCAAAACAAGAAATTTCCGCGCATGTTTTTAAGCGGGACGACTGGGGAAATGTAAGACAATGACTTTACCACTAGGAAAAAGTGTGCCACCCATTAAAAGGAAGTCTCTCATTCTCGCTCTCAGCAAATTTATAGATGTTTCGCAATAATATTGTTGCCAGTCCTCTTCAAGTGGTGCTATAAATTGGGATTAGATAGATAAGCGATATGAGTAAGCTTAATTGTTATCAATATTACATGAATATATATTGCCGAATCATATGTTGATCGATAAGTCTGACTATGACATGCCCTATAAGGCATCTGTAGACACTCTATACATTTTATTCACCAGAACTCTATTCATTTATAGATGATACATAAGAGTTATCAACCTTAAATTTATGTCTAGCACGTGTGCACCCATTGTAGAGTAGGCCCGCAGCCATTGCACCCCCATTGCCTACAGGGTATTCGCCCAATACGTTTCGCCCAATTCGTTTTCCCATCTATTCTCCTACGCCCTTTGTTTTCCGATTAAATCGTAAAAGCGTGTTGATTCCTGATAATATATTGATAGTGAACTTTGCACTCGATGATTGACTCATGGCATTCGGGCCGCATCGAGAGATTCGGTAATACCAGGACAACGAATTCGGTCTGGCAGTCTGTTAACTGTTAGCGGGATTCTCAAACAGCTTACCGCAAAGCGCAATTAATTTTCCAAATTGTATTATTTGTCATATGTTTTGTTATATAATTGGCTTTGCCAGCCGAGTTGGCAAAACACAGGGACGAGGGACTGCAGCCAGAGTACGGGAAGTTGGGAAAGTCCGTAAAACTGAATGGAATCGATTGAGTTTCATTCATGAGCACGTTCAGGCGCCGTAGGATATCTACCTGCCTAAGCGTGGGAAAGTTGATAACGCGACGGCCAAGATCCTCCAAGTCGGCCTGCCTCACAGGTAGAGCGCTACGAAATTGGGCTGCTCCGCAATTGCGTCGGATCGCCGGGATCTGTTGGGTTATTTGTGCGACGCGCTGGGAGTTTCTTCTGTTCATGAAAAAGTCCCAAGTGGAAAAAAGGCAAATTTCCGGTTTTTTGATCTCGTCTCGTATTTCCCACGGCCCACAGTTCCTACACTGGGTATAAAACCGAGCGGTTGGCTCCAGCCAGGACACAGTCGACCTAACGACAGCAACGAGAACACACACACACACCCAGAGAACACCATGTTTTATATCATACAAATATTCTTGAGCCTGGCGAGCAGTGCAACGGCTGCCAGCTTGACGGAGCCACTAAACTACTACCAATACACACAGTTCCAGGCGCCACTCTCCTGGGAGGCCATCAGYAGCAGCAGCTTGGACCAGGCCATCGCCAGTTGTCAGCGGAGCTTCAAGTGGCAGCGCTGGAATTGCCCCAACCAGGACTTTATCAGGCGTCGCACGTCACCAACTCCAGCCCAGGCGCTGGATCGCGAAGACGTCTATGTGGCTGCCATCTCCATGGCCTCCATCTTGCACACGCTCACCAAGGACTGCGCCAATGGCGTCATCGCTGGCTGCGGCTGCACCGACAGCGCCCTCAACGTGCCCTGCGCCCATGAGCCGGCCAAGGCCATGCAGCTGTACGAGCAGCGCTATGGCGTGGGCTCCGGAGCTTTGGGCCACAATCAGCGCGTGGTGGGCGCGCTATTGGAGAAGTCGCTGGAGCAGGAATGCCGCTGCATCCAGCACAGTCCGCAAGGCAGCTGCCTGGAGAAGAAGTGCGTGCAGGTGCTCAAGCCATTCGAGTCAATTGCCCAGGACCTGCTCAACATGTACGACGACGCCATACAGCTGGACACGACCGCCAGCAACCTGAAGATCATGTGGGAGAACATACCGCTCGACTCGCTTGTCTATATGCTGGACTCGCCCAACTACTGCCAGCCGGAGGCGAGCGGGCGCTGGACGGGCACCCGTGGACGCCAGTGCTCCAAGCACACGGGCAGCACTGCCGACGAGCGCCTCTCCTGCCAGCAGCTCTGCCGCGTCTGTGGATTCCGCGTGCGATCCCAGCACCTGCGCAGCGAACGGCGCTGCAACTGCAAGCTGGTCTGGGGCTTTCGCCTGCAATGCGATGTTTGCATTCAGCTGGAAAGGCACTACAGCTGCTACTAAGCCAGAGAGAAAGAGAGGGAGATAGAGCGAGAGAGGTATCCACAGAGAGTCGGAGAGAGAGCGAGACTTAGCCAATTGAGGGCGCTGGTTGAGCCCAGCCACAGCTGCAATTATTTAGTTAGACCTAAGCTAATTTATATATGCATAACTCTAATTTATTGACAACAATAATAATGAACAATAAAAATACGTAAATCGAAAAATATTACTGTGCAGAAATCATTTAACATTTGAATTGGGTATATTCACCAGACTGAACGTAAAGTTGATGTCATACGGTAATTACATTAGTTAGTCGAATATCTAATCAGTGCCAGGCCATCTAATGTTGATGTCATGCGATAATCGAATTATAGTTATTGTCTAATATCTAATATCTAAGTTCTAATATCTAATCAGCTCAGAGGCACAAACAAATTGAACATAAACGCGCATTACTAATTTGGAAATGTTATAAATATAGAACTTTTTYTTTTTTTTTTTTTTGACGATCTTAACTTCTGAACAAGCAGAAGGATGCGTAAAGTACATATTTATTTTTATTACATATTTATGTATATTATTTAACCTTGGCAAGGACCTGAATCTATCTACCCATTTTCTTTTATACAGCTTTAAATTTTCAATTCTTAATATAATTTTTTTTTAAAGATCTTTTTGCTCATTATGAATTATTATGAATTCACCGATTTTTCTTATAATTTGGAATTTGAATATCATAAAATTTTCCACTAAATTTACCAAAAAAATATTTCATGCCATACCCTACACATATGAATATACTTAATATGCTCTTCAAATTTTAGAATTGTCATCTAGAGCAAGCGATATGTATAAAATTAGAAGAGTAGAGTGACCGAATGTTGAGTGCAATGGTGTAATATATTTTCTAGTCAAGTACACCCGACTAAAGCAATCTGACTGGATTTTTGATCTGAGTATTAATTTTATTTTATTACTGGCACTCATTTTCTAGCAATTTTTTTATTTTTTAAATAAAACACAGCGACGCACCAGATTTCTTTTTATTTTATTTTCATATTTTATAACTTAATGCGAAACTTATTGCAATTTGTGTCTTTTGTTTGTTTGATCAACTAGCTGTCTAAACTCTCTCACTCATTCCCGCTCCCTCTCTCTCTCAAGCTCTCTCTCTCTCTCTCCCTGTCTCTCCCTGTCTCTAGTTGACCCAGGCAGTGGGTTTGCCCTCCACTCGGTAACCATTGTAGGCAGCTGACGCGGATGAGGCAGCCGCCGCCAGCTCGGATCTGCGGCTGGGCTCGCTGGCCCAATAGGAGGGCGCCACCTCGTAGGACTGCATCATTTTGTTGCTGTTCTTGATGGCCGATATGATGAGCAGGAATATGGCCAGCTTGCCGACTAAAATGGACTTGACCAGCAGCAGCTTCAGCTTGGTAACCAGGAACGGCACAATCGCCGATTGGATGAGAAAAGGTAAGATGAACAGCGGCAGCACTTTGGTCATCATGTCATACTTCTTGCCGCGACCTAGATGTAATTGCAGGTAAAAATGTATATTAAGTCGTCACTATAATCTCCAATTGCCTTTGAACTCACCTTCTTCGCTGTTATCCGCGGTCAGCCAGCGCGCGGCGAGTATCTCCTTTAAGTTCTCGCCGTCGAGCTTCACGCGCACGATATCGTTGCTCATGTCGAGGCTGACATTCAGGCCGGGTCCCACATGGTAGCGCTCCACGTTGTCCGCCTCATCATTGGGCTCCTCATCCAAGTCGGCCTCTGGCTCCGGCAGCTGCTCATCCAGTTTCTTTACATTGTTACGGTTCTTGCGTTTGCGCTTGCGCCGCTTCTTGCCCGCCGCCGTCTCGTTCTCATCATAGACGGGAGCGTCGGTCTGTGCCTCCAGCAGCGCTTCGGCATTCGCCTCGTTGCGCAGCTCCTGCGCCAGTGCATCATCGATGGCCACCTCCTGCTGCTGTTGCTGCTCCAGGTACTCATCTCCCTCGGTGGCCGGCTCCTCAATCGCCTCATTGTTGGCCAGGTGCACAGCACTCACCCGCTCACGCAATCGCTTCCGATACTCGCTGGTCGTCTTGTTGCCCAGATAGGTGCTCTTGTAGTTCTTATAGATGCCCATGTACATGTGGGAGCTCCTCCGCTGCGTCGGCCTATCTTCCGGCTCATAGCTGCTTGCCAGGCCGCGCGCAACCTCCTCCGAGGCAGCAGTGGTCGCCTCGCCCGTGTCCTGCTGCTGGCTGCCGGCCAAGGTGGCGCACAGCGCGAAAAACGTTAACAAACTCACAAAGCGGCTCATCTTTGGTGCATGTCAGAGAGAAGAATCGTCGCACTGAATACTGAGTGTGTGCGCACCACACGCTGGCCAGTCACTAAATGTGGCACGATCGGCGTGCCACATGCATTTTATCAACTCAGCTGCACAAGTTGCAGCAGCAACAACAGCAGCAGCAGCAGCAGCAGCAGCAGCAGCAGCAGCAGCAATTGCTGTCGCAGTGGCAGAACATGCTGCGAGGAAAGCCAAGACCAGATCTGGAATTGGTATTGGAATTGGGCACAGCCAGCTTAAGACTGTGTCACTGACAACGCGCTTGCAACATCTTGCGGCACAACTGGATAGCCAAGAAGAAGCAGAAGCAGTGGAAGACGACGCCGATTCAGAATCTTCCCCAATTGAATTGTGGTCAAAACATTGTTGGCCTGCAGTGCAAACACGATAGATATCTGGAGTAGGCCTGCAATTTCTCATTGATCTCCATTATTGAATTTCTTTTAGCTGTAATTGACCAGCTTGCGTCTTGGCCATAAATAATATGAAAACGTTAAGTAGTCTGGCGAGCTGCTCTCCTGCTCTGACTGCTAACGGTCGCTCGTGTAATTCTTTGGCCATAACCAGAGACAATTAGCTCTGACGGCTATCGCATGAGAAAGTTGTTGACAGAATTGCCTGGCAAATGATCTGCTTCTTCTTCTTCTAGTAGTGCGGCTTCTCCATCTTATTTCTGCTCCAGCTTTTGCGATTGCTGCGATTGCTCTGATTGAGCTAGGAGCGGGTGTCTCGCGTCGCCAACAACTGTATCTGAAATCCAGGCTAGAAAGTAAATTCTGCCATTGCTATTGAATCCGCTTAACATATTTGGTCTCTCCACTAACTAACGACTTTCACATAACTTAATGCCGTTTATCTAAACTCGTTGCTAATCGATTCTAGGTAATTTGGAAATTTGATCTGTGTCTGATGTATTTACAGTTTTGTTTATGCATAGCAATTTGTCACAAAAAATATTTAAAAAAAAAAATAAGTATTATTATTATAATAAATATATATAGATAAAGATAGAATAATGGAATTTAGTATAGAGAAGTAAATTCTATGGAAATAATTAGTTCAATATATGTACTTAAATTTAATTATAAAAGGAAATTCTCTAGAAAAACGCCTAGTCCATATGTAAAAAGGTATAGAGGCCGATAGGAGAGATGCACATACTTAGATTGATTCAGCTGCTCAGCCTGAACCTATATATGGCATGCCACGCCTACTTCTACTTGTTACTTAAGCCTTAACAGAACTACATATTATACTCTGATTTCCCATTTTAAACGTGTTCAGGGTTTATAAAAATCATTATCTTCCATAAAAAACAATAGCAAATTGAAGTTTTTTCTAGATAAGCGAATTACTAGAAGAGCTTAGATTCAACTTATCTTATCAACTATTAAAGTACTTATGTACTTATGTATATACAATAGAATTTGATTCGGAGTACGCTTTTTAAGTAATTCACTTCATAATACTAGATCACAATCTTGTATTATGGATCAGTCTTTTTAGAGGCTAGACACGTTTTGAGGGCTTTTGCAGTTTGTAATGAAAGTGAATTGTGGACTTCAACAATGCCTACCAAAAGTATGTCTGCACTCACACACATATATATTTATCAATGGGTACGCATTGATAATTAAAATGCATTGCCTTTTGTCAATTAGCTGATAAATCAATATTGTTCATATGTATATGTACACGCAAAAACAAAAGAAGAAATGAAAGCGAATGGTTCCGTCTATTTGTCGGCAGCTGCCCTCAATATATAGACACGCGTCGTGAAAGAATGCCCATGTCCCAAAGTTTTTCAATCTGAGCACCCAAGTGCAACATGACCAAAGCCAAAGCAAAAACCAAAGCCAAAGCCAAATGAAAATCCAAAAGTGAGTCTCATCGCTTGCACCTTAAAGGGCACGCAGTTGCCACCGCCGAGTTGCAGAGTGAAAATCACTGATAGCTATGCATATTCAAAATAAAAATATGATATAAAACATAAGCGAGATAGTAAGCATTGAACGACTAGTAGATGCCCTATAGACAATTTGAAAAAAAAACAAGTAAGAAAGCTCTAGTCGAGACTGCTCGACTACGAGATCCCCTGAACCCTTGGAGTGCTAGCTATTTCAATAATTTTTCGCGTCTTTCAGCTTACACAAGAAACACACACACATACACAAACACATACACANACGGACAGACGGACAGACGGACAGACGGACAGACGGACAGACAGACAGACGGACAGGGCCAAATCAACTCAGCTCGTCACCCTGATCAAGAATATATATACTTTGTGGGGTCTGCCACGCCTCCTTCTGCCTGTTACATACATTTCAACAAAACCATTATACCCTGATTTCCCATTTTCAATGGGTTCAGGGTATAAAAAAAACAACTTTTATAAATAGGTCTAGAGCAAAGGATCTTTCCCGAATGAAGCTCAACTTTTGAAACAACTGCAATATCAGCTTGAATCAGCTGTATATTGATATTGAATCTGTTATCAATCATTATCAATAAAAAAAATAAAATAAAAAAAAAAAAGGGTATCGATATGGTTTTGTTATCTATCTTTATTGAAGATTTGTATTGAAATAAATAAAACTTTATCAATCTCTGTCAAAAAGAAGCTGAAACAACTCAGCCAAAACTATTCGTTCTATTCAAAAATTAACTGAATTTAACAATATTTCTATCGATAATTACCGTTTTCTTACGAACACAATCGATTTTTATCGATTCAGAATATCAACTTCCGCTTGTCCCATATGCCCCAAGACAAAGCCAACATACCACTTGAAAGCCATTTCCCTCAGTCCCTAGGGTATACTGACCCGTTGTAAGATTGGTCATCG